CAAATGATATTGAGGTTTAAAACACAAGGGTGATTAATGAATGTAAGCTATAGCACATGATTAAACATATGCTACAATCACTTTAATAAATCTGATGTGTTCACCTTTTTTCAATTCATTTATTTAATTTATTACAACTGCCAACTCTAACAGAAGCTAGGCTGCTTAAAAAATCTAAGTATATTATGGATTAAATCCTAAATATATTTCATTCCTCTTTTTCATAGTCATTTATTTGTACAGGAAAATAAATTACTGCTATATTATTATCACTCATTATTTTATGATTGCAAATTATTTTAATATATAATGAGCAAACAACCTAAACTGAATTGAATTACTTGTATTTACATCAACAATAGCTTAAGTACTTCATTTTCTTGGTGAGAGTCTAAGACTATTAAATTTGGGGGAGGGGGGGAGACACAATTATCCATTTGTTTTAGTAGTAGTATTCAAATGAACAAAATGCCACACTATAACCACATGGTACAAATACAGGCAATTTACCCATAATTAATTATAACAACTCCTTGTTAATAAAAAGTGTTGTTTATAATTAAACTCTCATGAATCCAGTTTGACTCTTAGTGAGTAGTGGAAATATCTCCCCCTCTCATGACCTTTAGTATTTTAATTTGCTTTAAAAAAATCATAATTAAAAAATAAAATTTTAAGCTGAAGCCAAAAAAAGGCTTTTTTTTGTCTGAAAAAGATGGGAACAGTTTTTAAAGATTAGGATTGTTATATTAAAGTAATTGTTCAAGGAAGTAGTAGGTTTTCTTAAACAAATTAAGTTATACACTCAGTCTATAGATGAATCTAGAAAGTAGTTTGGCTCACCTAATTTTATTAAGGATATCCATTCCCGACTGCTCCAAAAGGACATTTTTAACAAAGGTCCGAGGAATGGAAATTTTTTCAGTACATGCCTCAATCAAGTCTTGCCTTATATGTGCTTTCTTCATTGCACTTGGACACAGGTTTTCAGCTGCATCTACCATTGACTCAAGCAATGTCTGCAGGAGAAAGCAATGGGAAGCAAACTTAAAAAAAATTTTTTTACAGGAACCACAGAAGTATGTCATTTATAACACCATGTGTACTGTGTTTTGTAATCCAAAATTACAAAACAAATTATGAAGACTGTTAAGAGAATTCAATAATATCCTTTAGTACTAAGTTTATACTCAATTGGCTTGACAAGTAACACTTTCCCTTATGAAAACTTAAAAGTTAGGGTGAAAAGCTATTCTAAAAATAGTAGGCAAAGTTATAAAGACCTGCTTATCAGATTCCTACAAAGAGCCAGATGGGGTAGACTGAAGTGAGAGACAAGATGAAATCTTAGTCTTCAAGAATATAGACCTAGAGGCTTTATTAAGATAGACAAGGAAATGTTGGGAAATTGCACATGGTGTGACAGAAATTGCCCAATTAAAAGTTAGGTTCAGCATAATGGGCACCACCTAAGAGCCAAGGTGGCGCAGTGGTTAAATGCAGCACTGCAGGCTACTGCTAGATCAGCAGTTCAGCGGTTCAAATCTCACCGGCTCAGGGTTGACTCAGCCTTCCATCCTTCCGAGGTGTAAGGAGGAGGAGGAGAGGAAGGAGAGGAGGGGAA